TCACCTGCCATAGCTTCAATACCAGCAGCTTTCGGACGCTGCGTGCCTGGCAATGAACACACTCATGAGTAGCGATTGCAGCTGGTTGAAGATGCTCAGCCACACCCTCGGCAGGTTTAAATATGGCGTCTCCGTAGAGCGACGTTGTTCTCGTTGTCTCGCTATGCGAGGCGCCCTCTCTCTCTGAGAGCGCTTGCCAAGTCGAGCTAGAATCCCGGAGTTGACCCGCATTTGACCGCATGCCCGGATTGTTTTCGGCCGATTGCATACGTGACACGACCGAACACCTACCTGTTTCAAGCATATTGAACAACAACATTGACAACAAACCACACCATATGACCAGCTTTGATTTCTGCTCAACTCTGCATGACTAACTAAACCTCATGATATGGAGTGCCAAACCAGAAACAAGTCCTCCAAAGAGTGTAAAGCCTGTGTACACGTCAGCTCCCAAAACCCTGGACTCAAGATTGTTGGCGCAGTGACATCCTGCCGCATGAAGCCACAGGGGGCCACAGCATCAACGGCTGCCCTGCTAAGGCGTAAGGGTATATTACATACCCCATTCTCAGCGGGGGGCCCTGCACACCTAACATGGAACCCACCAGAGGGTCCCTTCAAAAGGAAAGTAGTCTTCCAGGATCCCTCAGTCAGGTTCCATGTGAATTAGTGGACAGGAGGGTAAACTTCAAACCATACCGTTGCAGGGTTGATGCGGAAGATATCGCCGAGTGGTGTACCCCCCCCATTTGGGCTCCATTGACCTCCATTGTCACAACCAAATAATATGTTGAGTCTGGTTTACTTGAACCTTCAAGTGTCAAATCATTTCAACGAGATCCAACTTTACTGGTCTATTTTGCTACTAAAAGTCAACCCAGTGGTACGTTGAAGAGAGCTGACTTTGATACCCAGCCAAAATTATGGCAGTGCATTGCCAATACCCTGCAGGTTCTAATAGGCCAGGTGGCTGCAAAATGGGTCCGTGCTTCCTTTTGAGATTACCCACCATAGGGTTGGTTTGAAGGGAAATTGAGGACCCCACAGGCTTCGTTAGGATCAGCAGCAGGTCGAACTGCATAGCGCTGGCAGCTGCCTTGTGCGTGGACACATAATCTGTGACGCAACATCTGGATTGGTCAGAACAAGTCCCTGGCCTTTTAGTTTGTGGTGAGCAACAATATGCAACAATAAGTTAACATACCCGACCAATGGGTCCAACCAGGAAATGGATGGGCCTGAGTTAGGTTCCATCTGCTAACTGATTGTTAACTCCAGTTAAATTAGACTCCCAAAAAGTTTGAAGTTCAGAGGCTGGGGAAGTGAGTATTGTTGTGGGAGGAAACTGGTTGAAGGCCAAATCTGTTCCTGGGTGGACTGCGGGATGTGCTTACGGAGACGCCCATGCTCCTGGTGTGTCTTCAGGGCACCAACTGAAAGCGCCTCAATACACATGCTGTTTTGAGGCTTGAGGGCACCCTCTTTAGAATGGCCAGGGCAAACGACAAAGAAGCGGGCCTTTTGTAACAGAGGCAAGTCGGAAAAGCAATCACGGTCATCCCTAGCACGTTCCAAAACAAAATGCAACCATTCAACAGTAATGTCAGGTTCCTCAAAGGGGTTCAAATACTATGAAGTTCTGCTAAAAATCATCGGCCCCTCGCCACCCAAAAAAAGAAGGCCGTCAATATATTTTGGCTGGACAAGAGTCTCCCCAGAATCTTCACCAAGCCTGCCTTTTGCCCGCCAGGAAATGTGACCCTGTTTTCTGCAACCCCGTGTTGCGAATTATGATTTGTATTTGATTACTTCTAAAATCCAAGAACCCAGAAACATTCTCACCCCCAAACTGCACATGAGGTATGCAAGCCTTCTTGAAAAGAGCTTGGCCAACAAAATTCCAAGGAGTGCAGTCCAGGCCCAGATCCCCGGAAAAACCAATAACAATCGAACACGGGTACTTAATTAACGAAAGAAAATATCCACCAAGCAAACACTGAACCAATAGTATACCAGCGCTACTTGAGCGCAGCACTAGGCAATACTAAGCCATTGCAAAGCGGTGAGGACCGAAGAGGACTCAACCGGAGACCGAAGAAGATCGAAGGCCGAAGAGGACCGATACTGAACTAGCACAAAGCGGAGGTCCTCCAGTAGAGAGGTTAGAATAAGGGTACCATTTTTTCTGTAGTCTATTTTAGTAGAGGAACCCTCCCCAAAAAAAGGGTAAAAGGGCACTACTGGGGGACCTAGAAGCAACACTAAACCAATACGAACCTAATACTACCTCTGGCCCCCACACCGCTTTTTTGAAGGAGGGCCTTTGCTCAGTGACCCACATTACGGCACGGAATTGAACGTACAGGCCCTTTCTGATTGTTGGTTCCCAAGGCTTCCCTACGTATCCTCTTGACATATTAAGCCACCGGAAGCAAACTCAACAACAAACTGGGCAACAGGTGATGCCCAAATCAACAGGGGAAACACGGTACCGTGGGGGTGTCCCTGGTTTTATCACTTTTGGAGGGGAACACCCCCATATCAATAAACAGTGGTTTATTAATCCGGGGTCAATATTATCCCTGTTCGCAACTCGGCTTTCTTTAAAACCAACCTGCTGCAGCCATGCTCGGAGACAGCGCTGCTTGCATGCTCCACAAGTGGGAATCACTGGGACCAGTTCAGTCCCAGCCTTGCACAAATGCGGCAACCTCTAGGGATATTCAATTCAATACGCCACAAGGATCTAAAGAACCACACGGGGATGTGCTGAGCATCATTCACATGGTTGGATCTACTGCAACAATCATGCTTGAGAGTGTTTGCGTCAAAAACACATAGGACATGGCTATGTGTCAAAAAAAGGCGTACCCCAAAACTGGTGGTTTTAGGTTCCTTTTGGTTTCCCTTTAGACCAAGCTTTAAAAGGGGTATCCTCAAAAAACAGGCGAGCCCAAATGAAGCTGAACCTCTTTCGCAGCGCCTGGCGGGCTTTCACCTGCTCCTTGTGGGACCAGGATACCGCAGCCCATAGGCCTAGAGCCAAACTACGTGACAGACGTTGGGAAAGGCCATTGTGGGAAGCCCTCACGCACGCAAAAAGGTGCCATTCAAGAGAAGGACCCAGACTTTGGCTCCAGAATATAAGGGAAAGCAACGGGGGGGAAACAGTTCACTTTGACAAATGTTTGGAGTTACATGTACTATCGGGGAGAAGATCTGGTACAACTGAAATGCATGGCAACTGCGATTTGCCTCAAGTGGTACGCAGAAGAGGCATGCAAGAGTCCTTCAGCAACCAAGAACCAAGGACCAAGGCTTGAATCTTGGCTGGTCAACTGGGCGCCAATGGGTTGAAGCTCAAAAATAAGGTCGGCACCTATCGTAAGTGTGGGCTTGCGATTCCATCGCCCGGAATCAAAAGCCATGGCGTTGACTACCGGGAGCTCCTTCCATGTCATGCAACATCGCCTAGGCAAGAAGCTTTCTTGAATTGGCCAAACCTGATGCGTTAACTTGCACAAAGGCTCAGGGCAATATCTCTGCACGAATAGCAAGCTGAATCAAAGAAACGCCATATAAGATGGTCGGCAGCACATGTGTACGTCAAGGATGACCTCCAACAACAAGGCCCTTTCTCAAAATACATCCGTTTCTCAAGAAGACTGTACGTTGTTTTGCTCACAGGGCTCGAAAACAAAGCACATATAGGCTATAATAACAATCTAGGCAGGTGGACAAACCTCCTCATGCCATTTTGCCCTGTAGCTATATGGCATGTGTCGGAGCCGTGGGTTTGTTCCTGAACCATGGAATCGATCGATCATGGAAGGTACCCTGCAAACTTTGCAGTACCCGTCCCCTTTTGGTGTCCATTGAGCAAAGTCTAGCGCCAACCGTCCTGAGCGCCGGATTTTTGGGGAAGTTTTTCTCCACCCATTTCAGGTTCGTTCGTTGGGGCTCGTGCGGTTCAAAGTAATCTTGGTTGAACGGCTGCTCATGTCGATGCAAATTTCAATGAACCCATCTTATTAAGGGTATTCCTCGACGAGTCATTGTGATAGTCATAGCTGTTTAGGTGTTTGGCAAAATAGGTAGACCCCAAAATGGTGGGCTTTCCTGGCAAGTTCCCTTTAAACCACCCCCAGAAACGGGTGGTCCCAATTTCGATGACGATCCTGAACGGAAGACAATGGTTATATGAACCCAAACCATGGTTTTAAGTGTCTTAATCATGATAGCTGAATGGTTTTAATGGTTTCACTGGTATCCGAATCCCGTCCCGTGTCCATCCCTTGCTACGTGCCAAACCCCGCATGGCCTTCTGGAACCGGCTTTGGCTTCAGCTGGCCATTGGCGGCCACTGGGCCCTCCTCGCTCGCGGCGGCAGCTGCCGGGGCCTCGGGGAGAAGTTGAAGGCTGAAGCTGTTCGGGTATGAATATTAATAGGGGACCCGAAATGCTGGACTTATTTGGGGGATTCATGTGCACCAATTACTTTTCAGGTGGTTCCCTATTGAAATCATCATGGCCATTTAGCTGGTTGATGGTTGGCGATGTGTGGATCTTGAGTTTCTTGCTCGGATGCTATAGTGATTTGTTGGTTCGGTCGGTGGGTTGTGTCCTTCAATTGTTGCTACCCCGAAAAGGGTACCGTCGCCTCCAAAAAACGATACCCCCCAAAATGACCCCTCCGTTTGGATTCCCCCTGCGCCTCTCCGGAGAGCAGCGCCTTGTTGCGGGCCTCCTTCTCCTGCGAGCGAGCCCGACGCGCACAAAACCTTTAGAGGAACAACTCCTGTGAAGAGCAAATCTTTGGAAGGCAAACACAAAAACAACCACCACATCCCACAAATGCGGATGCCATCAAATGCGGATTCGAGCGCAGGCCTCCTCGGATTCCTTCTTCTTCCGCTGCCGCAGGCCCTTTGGAAGCTCCTTCGCATCGCAAGACTGACTTAGGTCAGGGGAACGCAGGTTTTACTCCACGCTTCCATTTGCCAGGGTTCCCTTTTGGGAGCCTTTTTTGACCCACTTGAGTATCCTATAGAGTGCCTTGGTGATCGCAGGACACTTGCCAGGACTCCAGGATCCCCTCTGGGGTGTGGATTTGAAGCTGGGGTAGGCAAACCTATTCTGCGAATCTCAAGTTCCACCTGCAAGGCGAGTAGTAGGCGTCTGCAAATTCTGAAAATTCCGAAACCTGAAATCAGACTTGGATCAGCTCGGCTTACTCCAAAAGTCGGCGAATGGATCCTAGGCCCTCTAGAGAGGTTAGAACAAGGGTACCCTTTTTCTGTAGTCTATTTCAGTAGGGAAACCCTCCCAACCAAAAAAATGGTTAAAAAGGGCACCTCGCTGGAGGATCATTCCTTCCAGAAAGCCAAAAACGTGGGGGAAGTGGCTGGTTTTTGAGAAAAGAAGGATGGCTGAAAAGAATGGACAAGGAATCAACCCCTAGAGTGTTTCTTTGTCGCAACCTGGCAACCATCTTGGGCCGAGCTGCCACTTGGAACTTGGTAAGCAGGAATATACCAAGGAAGAAGCAAAGAACATACCAGGAATCAACCCCTAGAACATCGCCTTGTCCGCCGTCAGCTTGACGTTGGCCGTGCTGGGAGCCTCCGCCTTGGCCGCGGTGGCCGCGTCCGCCGCGTCCGCCGCTTCGCCTCCGTGCGTCTGGAGTCCGGAGCGGGGGGGGGAAGGAGGAGGCACTCTGAAGACAGGTGGGCGTGTCGCAAAAAGGGGGTTCTGTGTGGTTCCCTCAAAACACAAGGGAAGGAAGTACCCCCTCAAAAACATAACCCAAGTTTGAACCGCTTACGATGAATCAAGGCCCTGTGGGACGTGACCCCTACGCCAGCAAGAATCCCCTGATCCAAAACAAAGTGTCACATCGCCTGGCGAGCAGGCGATTAAGGCGGGCTCCGATGACTTGGTTCGGGTTTGAATCCGCCGACTCCATGGCAATGACTCACAGCCCGTATGTCCGGGTCCCACTTGAAGACATGTGAAGCCGGAGCTAGTCAAACTGCCAACTCTGGTTGGATCAAAAGAAGAGCGGTTTTGCAGTTGCTGTTGATCGCCCCGGAAATGGCATGCATGTCCAAGCAATGACAGGGCCCTCCCCCTGATTCATCTACAAAGGTCTTCCCAAAATGCTAAATCTGAAGCCGGCACCAGCAGCATTGTGGTTGGCATCAATGATTCAACTCAAGGGCCAGCCGACAAACTGCTCTCGAGAGCACGACATGCCGCGAATAACAGAAAGCAAAGCGAAAGACAACTGCGGTCTGACAGAGGAAGACTCTTGCCGATCACATTCCTGGTCCAGTTTAGCGATACCCTTTGCAAGACAGGTGCATGCACATGACACTGTATTTCTGCCGTGGAATTTCGGTGCTCGGAAATTGCCGCGTTGACGGATTCTTGGGCCCGAGACGGGGGGAACCCCATTTGGACTACCGTCGCGGAACTCCCCTGCTGCAAACAAAATCCCCCAGTTGGTTTCTTACTGGGGGGAGCATTTTTTTTGTATGGGGAAGGATTCTTGAGAGCAAGACATCCTCAAACAAAACCCTTCTGAATGGTGCCACGTTCCAGGTAGCCACCCACCAGGGACCCAATAGCCCAAACTGAGCGCCACGCTGGTTCCAGCAGCCGCTGGTGCCTCCTCCTCCGACCTTCCACAAGTCGGCTGCAAACGAGCGCAAAAAAAACTGAAGGGGTCGTATTAGTACGTTCTACATGGCCCAGCCCTTTCTTCAACCACCATTGGAAAGTAGTCTTCCAAAACCCTCCTGGATTTGGATAGAGGATTTCCCCACCATTGGAAAGTAGTCTTCCAAAACCCTCCTGCCAGCTGATTGGAGGAAGGGTACTGTCTTGCAAGGGGGGTCATTCACATAATCCAGTTCGCACCGATTGGCAGGCGGGGTACAGCATGCTGGGAGGGTCATCCATCCGCAACAGGATTGTGTCCAGCCAAAGTATAACCTGCAATGCAGGGAGCTTGAAGGGAGAAGGTCGCCAACTCTACCCAGACAATCCATGTATAGGTATTATACCCACATCTACTCTCCAAATGGGTCCAATGTTGGTATACATGAATACTAGCTACATGGATTCTCTTTGGTAACACCCTTGGTAAGGTAAGTTGTTCCAAGAACAAGGGGCACTGACACGCACAAGCGGCCACATGGCGGTGGGATCGCCGAGGTTGGGCTCTAAGGCTCACGTTCCTGCAAAAGAGCTGGACCTTTCAGATTTGTTTTGTGTCCTGAGATCATACTGGGGAATTCCCTCAATTTTTGGATGCCAGACAACCTCAGCGATTCAGAGCATAGGCAGTCGTGCGAGACACACATCCCTAAACCTGGCTTCTCCGCACTGGAAAACCCACTTCAAACAAAAATGCCGCAATTCACAGAGAGAAAAATCTGATTCCCCAGGCAAGATACCTTGGTGGGCAAGCTCGTGTTTATGGTTTGTTCAGACACGGACAGCGAACATGTGAGGTGTCCGAAAATCTGAGATCGATCCCTTTTTGCGGCTTGGAAATGGCAAGGGGTGACCGGACTGAGCCGGTCTTTGGATTTGGCAATGGTTGAAGTTGTTTGACTTTGGCCAAACCTCGTTCACAGTTCCGTAAACCATCTCATGTTGGCTTCCCTTCAAAAATGACCAGGCATGCGGCATAGGGTCTGGTTCAAACACAAAAAACACCCAACCGGTACGTTTGGAACCTCTCCTGCGAGAAAACGAGCAAAACAAAACCAGAACCTCTCGCGAACGACATGAGGCCGCGGCAAAACCTCAATTGAAATGGGCTGCACATGTGTTTTCTTATCGGTTTTGCGTCAAAGTTTATCGTTTTACACATTAGATGTATGTTCAACCATATCGTTCTTTTTTGCACCTTATCGTTTTACCGGGGTTCGCGCATTTTTGGACAACTGCGCGCATCAGCTCTCATGGTGGCCTCAAAGGCTTTCTTCGTCGGACTCACGAGCAGCAAGCTCCTTGCATGCTTTTCGTTTGCGCTTGCTTGCTTCAATTTGTTTGGCTAGCCTGCGCTCATCAACTGCAATAATGTGTCCCAACGTAGCCTCCTCCACAAACTGGGCAGGCTCCGGTGCGGGCAGCGCCGCGGAAGCAGTCTTCTCTGACTCCAGGGCAACGTCCTCTGTCAGCGCGCTGGCGTCCGCCTTGGAGGCCTGCAGCCCCGAGATGGAGGCGTCTCGACTCGCAAGCTTGGAGGCCAGCGCCGCGGCGGTGACGGCCCCCAGGAGAGCGTTGGCCACCTTGGTGTCTACCTCCAGTCCAAGACATGTTCCAACGTAAAAGACAAGTATGCTGTCCATGGCCGGGAGACATCAAAGGGAAAGCTAGGGTAGAGTGGCTAAGTTCCTCTCAATGGGCAACTCCTCACGGGTATGGGTTCTGTCAAAAAGTGTTATCGTTTTTGTTATCGTTTTGTTATCGTTTTCAGCGTCGTGACTCGGAAGCCTCTCCCGGGTTTCAATGCTCCAAGCCATGGTTGTGAATAGGAAGGACGGAAAGGGAGCAAACAAGATTGAGCAAAATGCTAGCAATACGTGCATTCCATGCTCCAAACCTTATCGTTTTCCAGCACAAACAACACGGAAACGCCCAAAAACCTTATCGTTTTTATTTGCACCTTATCGTTTTACCGGGCTTCGTGATTGTCCAACACAATGTGCGCGACTCTTACATCCCGCAAGCACGAGAGTATTGCCAGTACCTCACATGCTGGCCGTTGCCCGTGCCGTATGGCCCCGCCTGGCATCGGCGGCCAGGGACTTTGCGAAGGCCACGATGCGCATCTCGGATCTCATTCCAATCCACCCATTGGCTATGGGTCAAAACCCCGGTTCGCCCCCAGTGAACATCAACCAATCCCCACTGAAATTCACAAAAATTGACTGAAATGGGTGGTGAATTCACCTACCCCAAAATGGTACCATTGGTGTTGACCCACGGCCATCTCACTTCCCGAGTGGTGGATGGCTAGAAGTTGGCACCCACTTTTTTCGGTGGTCTGTTTTAGGGGAGCCCTCCCAAAAACAAGGGTAAAACGGCACTGGGCCCAGAATTTGTGCTTCTCAAGTCCAGGAACTCAGGAGAGATGTTGGGTCTCTTTCGATCGAGTGGACTGGCCAAAAAAGCCTCGACACACCGTGCTGGCAGCTCCATGTGTCTTTTTTTTGTTTTTTCTTTTTTGTTTTTTTGTTTTTTACATGTGTTTTTGTTTTTTACAAGTTGATGGTTCAGGAACTTAGAGAGTGTGATTGGTCTCCGCACAATTGAATCACAAATCCCATCCCAATGAGCAGGCCAATTGAGTTGGGCTGACGGCTGATCAGTGTAAAATACGTTGCCTGTGTGGGTCAGTGCTTAATCCCCTGCAGAAAGTTAAACTCGGCCGGCTGGAAAGACTTTCCCCCTTGCGAAGATCTAATGGTAACAAGGTCAAATGCAAAAGAACAGAGATGTCATTTGGCCACACAGTTTGAGCGCGGGTCCCCATCTCCCCAGTGCTGCAAGGAGCTGTGGCCACTGCAAGTGTGGTCGTCCTTGGAACTACAAGTAGTGCTGTACATTTGCATTTCGTTCATGTACCTCTACGCACACTTGTTGCACAATTATGAACATATACATGTTTTTTACACGTATTTGCATGCATGCGTGGATGCAACTCGGGGGGTCCCCAAAGCATCCACGGGGTTTCGTGGGTACCACCTGCATGCCTCCTTTTGGGGTCCCCGGGCCGAATCTCGGCATGGGTCACTGAGCCGCTGGCCACCGGTAAGCACAAAAAGTTCACCACGGTTGGGAACTGGCAGCGAGCGACGTCGCCACCCTCCAGTGAATTTCTGTCATAGGTGGCCTTGTGCAAAAAATCGATGGGTTTCCCTGGCAAATGGATGGCAAAACCAATCTAAACCAGTGGAATGTCTTATCAATCTAACCTAAA